ATTACACCTTTGAAATGTCTGCTATTTATCTATAATGAAATTGATTTGATAAATATTGTTTAAAGCTGCAGTTATTTGGTTTTAAATAGATGTGTAAAAACGGCGAATATGTGTCCCCCTATGACAAAATATCAGGAAATTTCAAATAGCCTTTAATCTAACTTTTCAGATGATTTTTTTCAGAGAAACACGTTTTCAAGCTAAGAATATTTTGCTTTTGATGTTATCTTCATATAAAATTATCAGTATACTTCAAAAACTTAAAGGTCTGAACATAAACGACAGAAAACATGGAAAATTATGGCGAAAATGAGCACCCCACTCTAGTGTTAGATCAGTTACTATAAATGGTTATTTAATGTTATTATTCCACTATTGTTGTTTGCTTTACACATTTGCAGTAAAAAGAAGTGCATCATTGTTTTACAAAACAAAAAATGTGTATTAAATCTGTTAACATTAATATTTTGTATCTATTTTAATATTTCAAATAATTTAAACAATTTAAATTTGTCATGCTCAAACTTCTCTCATTTTCTTTACTTCTTGAACAGAGGTGCAACATGCATTACCAGACTAACGCAGAAGATTATAATGAGTAATAGAGTAATAAAATATTGATGCAAGTTTCTTCACTTCATAAATTTCTTAATGTGTTTTGGCAAATTAATAACTTGATTTCGGAAAAGCTAAAAGGTTCTGTTTAAAATATGTGGTTATACTTCAGCATTAATTACTATTAAACGTTTACATCTAATATATACTACCACAACAATATATTTCATTTCGTTTGAAATTTGGGTTTTCCTGTTGGCTAATTGTAGGACTTATATATGAATAGGAACCTGTATAACTAGTTCTGCAACAATACAAAAAGGTTTTCAATTTCTACTGGTATAGTTTTTATACGGTGCTACATGTATATAAAGTTTGGCATTTAAATGTATAAGTATCGAATGTGTTCGCAGTTAGGTCGAATCGAAGTACGTCATATTAGTATATACTATATACTAATGTGACGTACTGCGATTCGACCTAACTGCGAACACAATAATACAGTAGCTGGTACGTTTAATTTTTATATGTATTTATCTAATTTTGAATGGTAAAAAGCTGTACAATTTTTTATAATTCAATAAAGATTTTTTGTCATTCTGCGGCATCTTATGACCGTACATTGTCAATAAATTTAAGAGTTGCTCCCCTTTTAAAGTATTATCAGTGAAAAAAAAGACCACACTATTCCTATTTTATCATCTTTAAAATAAAGGTATCAGTATTGTACAGAATTACAACTGCAGTTTCCGGTGCATGCAGAAGATGAAAATAAAAAAAGACTATTTTCTTTTAAAACAAACATGATTTTGCATATATTGAGTACATGTTTTGAAATTAAAAGTAAAGTAAAGTTAACTTAACTTACAGCAGGAACATATATATTTTTAAATATACTGTTCCCAGCTTACAGTAACATTTAATATAAGAAATTATTTTTCACCTCCGGCTACGAGATCGGTACACGCAACCTTCCAGCTGTGAGTTCCGCTTTCCAATGCACCACTTGGATGACTTGAGTAATTGTTGAAACTTTAGTAGTTAAGTCTACCATTACGAAGTGGGAATAATAATCCAGCCCGTTTTCGTTTAGAAATGAAATGTTGAGATAATATAATATATAAATGTTGCCAATTTCATCATTTTAAGCAAACATGGGAGGATTTCATAACTTAGTTTACCTAAACAAATGTGTTTTCAACATTACCATCAGCAAGCGCTTAAGAAACATATCGGGAATTTCAACGCTTTTTCTAGAAGTAAAGATATTATTTCGTTGTCCTTTTTTCGTTAAAGGTAAATTATGTAGATTACTCAGGTCCACCGTGTTGAAAAATAATAAAAATGACAATAACTATTATGAATATATTATAATACATCATTCAGAAACATGAGTAAGAAAGACCCTCCATAAAACTGCGGGACATATATAATTAGAAGTAACCAACACTGAGTTCACGCTAACATTTTAGGTTGTAGTCTTGTAATTGACTTGTCCATAGGCTTACATACAAAACATCTGTTCTTTGATTTGTTTTTTCAAACATGTACATATCATGTAGTAATGTAAAATTGTGATTTAATAGGAAAAGAGTGCCACATGCCACGAACAATAAAAAGTTATGAAACCTTTAAGTGAAAACTACTTTTTTATTGAAAATAGAAAAAACAACTAACACAAATAACAGTATCAAGACTTGTTCTACATAAGTCAAAAGAACTAACAATAAAATCATCATTTTTTTCGCATAATAGTAAAGTTTTCTTGTGTTGCCATAAGAACAACTTTCGAAGATTTATCATGTTTATCTTACTTTTTAAAGTTCTGACAAGTGCTAGAAACATGCTTAAAGAGTTCATCTCTCCAATAGTTATGAAGTGAGCATTCGATTGAAAAATGACGCTCATCCTCAACTTTATCAGCTGTACAATATAAACAGTAGCTCTCAGATCTTGCAATACGATTTTTTGAGTATCTGGCTTTTTCAATTCCTAATGTAATGGGTGAGCACTGATTCTTAATTAACATATGAAGTACCTTTCTTAAAATCAATGATATCTAAATATTGTTCTTCTTGAAAACAATCTTAAAATGATAAATAAGTTTGTCAGTGTTCATTGTTTGAAATTTTTAATAGATGATTCCAATATTTATATTTACCACAACACATAATGTACACTTAGTTTTTGATTAAAATTAGTTAATTGAATAAGGCGGACGACTAAGCCTTAATCAATGAATGGTAAACAAACCAAGAGTAAGTCCAGGAGAAGGAAAATCGTTTGACAAAGACAAACGCGGGACAAGAATGTCACACATTGTCTTAGAATATATGATTTTATTAGTTATTATTGGCTTTGAACTAGCTGTCAATAACTGCGAATACGCTCAGATCTATACTTTGAGTTTTTGTTGTTGTGAGGGATGTATAAATACCCTGTCACGTCCGGCATGTATAAGTGTTAAAAGTTTGTTTGCTTTGAATCAATCTGATGAGTTCAACTCTTTTCAACTTATGTTTAACCCGGCTGCATTCATAATATTAATTAATGTGCCTGTCCCAAGTCAGTAGCTGGTAGTTTAGTGGTTGTCGTTGTTTGTCATATTTGTTTTTCGTAAATAGCTTTGTTGTAATTCATCAGTCCTGCCTCTTCCCCAACCATTATAAAAGATGCATGTTATTCCAGATTTTGAAATTAGCTCGGGATATAAAATCAGTACCCCTACAAATATATTGAGTGTCATCTCTCAGACTGTGTCTGATCGATCGTTATTGGAAGTGCTGTGTACTGTCTCCGTATTTCGTGGATGCACATTCCCGAACATGATATTCATAACATCGCACAGGTGGGTGTCTTGGTAAAAGATGGAATTGCTCATCTTTGTGGAGCACATAGTTCGTCCTATTTCTCATCTTATTTTTAGAACCTGTGTTTGTATTTGTCTCTTTGTTTTTCTCCTTTTGACTGATGCTACATTATTCGTTAATTCCGCGACAATATTAATTTAAAGGCAGTGGCTATTTTGCCGGCACCGGCAAAATAGCAAATATGCTATTTGACCGGCTCTGATTAAAATATCTGAATTCAAGCCGGCAAAATAGTCTATTTCTATGGAAATGGGTATTTGACCGGCACCAGCAATATAGTGAATTTGTTTTTTTTTGCCAGTTCTTTGAAACTTAATATTTATTTTTGAAAAGTACTATGAAAATGTTCACTGTGAACATTAAAGAATCAAAAAATTACTGATATACCTGTACTTAGTTAAATTAGAAAACAGCTAACAATATTTGAGACACAAACAATCATTAAAAAAAATTATCAGTCAAAGTATAAATAACTATTAAAAATTTAAAACAAGAAAAAACAAATCATATCTAAACATGAAAACATGTAGTTGAAATTATTTCTAGAATCAGTCAGTCCAACGAGTGTAGCAACAGATGAAAATCACATAGCTTCAAAATATTGCTTTAGAAATAATAGCCAGTTATTTGAATGGCATATGTGTAAACAAAATAGTTTTTAACTGTTAGCTGCCGTTTACAGGGGACTTTCTATTCTAACGGGACTCGTCTCTATTGATTTTAATTAATTTTATTATAGACTGTCCCTTTCGTAACTTATGTTCCATTTTTCCAGCGCCGGCAAAATTTCACTATATTAATGGTGCCGGTAAAATAGCTATTTCTATAGAAATAACCTAATTACCGGCTTGAATTCAGATATTTCACCCAGATCCGGCAAAATAGCTACTGTCTAATTTAAATAGAACTCAGATGAGTGATACAAGGGGTAGAAAGTGTTGCGACCAAAGAGGGCGGGTACCCACCAAACACAGAACATTTTAGAAACGTTTTTTAAAGGTTTCAAATAAGTTAGTTTCGAAAAAACGTTTAAGAAATTAAGTTAAAAGGTTAAATTGAAACGTTTTCTGTAACTATAGTAGAAATGTTTCTGCAAACATTTTTTAAACGTAAAAAAAACATTTTTTCAAAAATGTTTTTGATAAACATAAATAATACATTTTAAAACAACGTTTTAAATTTGTTTTTTAATAATGTTTCAAAAATGTTTTTTGATAAGTATAGAAAAACTTTATAAATCATGTTTCTCATATCACCGCAATATTTTTGTTTTTTACTTTCAATTTTTAATTAACAAACAAAAAGTCATCTTCGATCTGTCGATATGATAATTACATCAAAAAAAATCTTGTATTCTAATAACTGGTTTCTTTTCTGTAGAACCGGGAACCAGTTATAACTTATTAGTTAGTTTCGTATTTTATTTCTATATTTTCCTTTATCGTATCTCTAAAGTATTATCATATTCGAAGATAGACATTTTAATTGAGAAAATGTATTATTTACGATAATAATTGGTATTAAAGCAGAATTCTGCATTAGATAAAGTTTGTTCGAAACTTCCGGATACTCTCACCGCCTTTTTTAAATTGAACACGACACTGAAAGAGCAGACCAACGACACTAGAAAGAGCAGTTCTACAGAATAGCGTTCAGTCTAAGAGGTATGTATAAAATCAATAAACAGTCGATGTATTTTGTAGAAATTGAGACAAATTACTGCATTATTTTCTCCATGACATTCGTATGATTTGCATGAGTTTATTAACATGATTAACAGATTTAACTACATGTACATGACATGTACTACAGGCAAACATTCACATTCACCACTGCATGATGCCATCACGTGTCAATTTGTCATGCCTCATGGGCTACTGGTCTGACTTTTACAGAGTAAAATAAAAACAGACCTCCGAAGACAGGATAATTAATCATTTAAACTACATTTGTACCCAGAGCGTAGTCAAATAATAATAACGTTTTGTACGGCTTTCTTATTTGATAAAAAAAAATTGGACGCCCTCCTCCAACTTCGTTGCAACAGCAAAAATCAAAAATATTCTTTCTAGACGTCATATTTATTTGGACTACCCATAGCTGTGCTGCCAGTGCTGGACCTCATTTCACAAAATATCTTGGTGTCTGACTAAAAATAAAATTGATTGTAACTTGCCAGTCATGAACAATTTAGTTTACCCCAAAATGTAACTGCATTTGATATGTTACACGATAGAAACATATTGATAACAATTAAAAAGTAATCATAATCAAATGTTATAGTAAATAAAAATAAATTAGACAAGGGCACCTCAGTCCTGATGAGGATGAACAGCCTTGGTCGAACTTGACCTTAATGATATTCGAAACACCAGGTGTAATATCATCAAATTAAAGAAACTCATAGACGACCAGTGTTGATTATCACGGATCATTTACGTTGGGAAAATCCTTTCAAATAAATAGATGTGTAAAAGTTTATAATGTAACCACAGAACAATCTACCGAGAAAAGGTCAAATCAGGTTTTAACAGTTAAAGATAATACATATAATTTAAAGTACACAATGTACATATATATAAGCGAAACATGCAATATTTATGAATCATAAAATCATGCATTAACAAAGCATTAACAGAATAAACCTGTAATTGAAGACAAACATTTAAATGCATATACAATTGCGTATAACGTATACACAGTGATACATGGAAAATCATTATAGAAACTTGATACGGACAAGAAATAAAATATCTTTCAGGCAATAATATTAATAGGTTTTGCTAAGATTGGTTCATGGACACGATTATTTAAAAAAACGATCATTTTAATTTCACGAAAAATAAATAAATAACTACAGGACTAAATTGTAATTTTGTAGGTCCAGTATTTGGTGTCCCTTCAGACTGTATAAGAAGGATGATGAAAAAAAGTGGCATTAATCAGTTATGGGCCAAATACAGACAAAAGGGGCAAAAGGAAAAAGAGGCATTCACAGGTCACCCTTTGTGCAGGATAATCACGAGTAAGTTAATTAAGAAAATATGTCGAACATTTAAAAGCAAGTGCCATTAATAAAGATTGGATTTTTCATATGACTTTAATCTCAAAAAGAATTCATATGATGAATATGAATATAATGTTTCTCACTTATTCTTTTAGATAGAAAAAGAGTGTAAAGTTACAAAAAGTTATTATATATATATAAAAGTTTAAAGAAGTTAAAAATAAAAATGAAATATGTATTTTTAATTCTGTAATACTTTTTCAGAATGTTGTGCAAGAGTGTTCCCAAAATCCAAGGTTACCAATATGGAGGAAGTATTAATTGGCTTCCTAAAACAGGCCCCACACAAGCCAGGAGGACCAAAATATAAGGTATTTTTCGATTGAATAAAATATCTTATACGTTTAAGTGGAAGGTTTTATTTATTTAAAAGTTTATTTTTGCAATTTGAATATCTATACACAAATGTCTGAGCCACTTATAGCAATATAACATTTACCAACCATGCAGACCTTCTGTTTATAAGAGACATTAAAATAATACATTGTTATGTTCTTGACTATGGAATTATTGTCTTTATCCTGCAAGTAAAACATTGAGATTTACATTTGTAGCAATTGCTTTTGACATGTAAAATATTATTTATGTTTTTTGCCTATCTTAATAATTACTTGGATTGCAAAAAATAGCACAAGTTTCTCTTTTAATATAGATTTAATGAAATAGCTTGATTAAAAGGGAGTACAACAACTAACTGGGGTTAAGAGTTATATGCTAAACAGGGTACTTAGGAGTACTGATCTTGTTAACAAATTGCTATTGTTCATTTTAGAAACCTGTAAGAAAAGGACAGACGACATCGCAAGAAGAATTGGAATCTGAACAAATAAATCTGTTTAAAATTACATTGATTCTACTGATTTTAGTCCTTCCAATACTGTTTTTTTGTTGTTGCAAAGTGATTAAAGATGTTTATAAAACTATATTCCAATGTCTGCAACAATTGAAGCTTTGGTTATATACTAGATCATTGATTGAAGTTATTTTGATAATATGTCAAAGGTCTCGGTTTAAGAGATATGTTATCTCCTTGTCAACGCAAGAACCTTATTGAATTGACTTTCAAGGTCACAGGACAAGTTTAAACAGTGAGAGGTTGACAAGCTCTGCTTTGGCATAGTTTTTTTATAAAGAATATCTTCCTTTAGAACTTATGGTGTAATGGTGAGTGTGCTCGCCTCAAGTGCGGAGGTCGTGGGTTGGAACTTAGGCCCGGTAAAACCAATGACAATTAAATTATTATTTGTTGCTTCTCCAAAAATGAGTTAGAGCAAAGACTTGTTGGCCCGTTGTCAGAATAATGTGACATGTCTTCCTGCAAACTTGCCTTGTGGGCTAGAACCAAAAAATCTGGCACAACATGTTGGTCTATTACAAGACAGGGTTAATATTAATTTCTAATAATCATGTTCTCATCCAGAATATGCTTCTGACTTGCCACTGGACGTTAAACAACCAACCATCCATCCAAGCTTATGGAGATGTTGCTTTTTCTTCAACTAAACACGTGTATTACAAATAAAGAAATGAATGAAATACAAAACACTGCACAATCAATTATATATTTTTAAACCAAAGTAATGGTGGTAGCACTGTTAACAATGTTTGTTGGAGGTTGACAGAAACGTTTTTTCATAAAACCTTATTTCAACGTTTTCTGAATGTTCCAAAATAACGTTTCTTCAAAATGTTTTTGAAACATTTATAAGAGTCTACAAAATTTGGTTTTTAAAACGTTTTAATAAAACATTCTAGAAACCAAAACAAAACATTTTTAAAACGTTTTTAAAATGTTGAATTGTTTGCTGGGTAGTGTTATCCAACTCTGATATATTTATCTATATATAGTTGATAGTGGGGAAACCTCACTCCCCTGAAAGGGAGAAACTGAAGATCTAATGAAAAGAAGATAGACCAAGACACATAAAAAACAGCTAACTAGAACAGCACAGAATGACAGTTGACACATAAACGCCGAAATATAAAGACAAATAAAATACACAGACCCGTAAAACGGAAGAGGGACGTGGGTAAGGACTTAGCAGTTACAAAAAAACATGTATATCAACTCCAATATACTGAAACATATATCCCGCATGAGAAGAATAATCGGAATCAAAACTGACAACCACAAATATAATGGAGAACGGAGTTGATCTTTTTAGAGAAAATTTACCCATCCACTTAAGACAAATGCCTTGTCGGAATAATGAGCTGCCGGAATAATGGGCTGTCGGAGTATTGGACTGTCGGAAGAGTGGGCTTTCGGAGTAATGGGCTGTCGGAATAATGGTTGTCGGACTAATGGGATGTCACCGATTATAATTAAGAGTAACAGGGCTGGATGTTTTTATATATATTGTTTGATTTTGACCCAATAATTTGTATCGATAGTAAAACAACGGATTAATTATTCACGTAGTAAAAATATAATTAACGACGAGGTAACAGAAAACAGTACGGAGAAAACAGAGGGGGGGGGTCTTTCTTTTTATATACCTATCGAATATTGTAAACCGATGACAACATTGTTCTACACATAAGCATATTGCATACATGCACATGGTTGTTTCAGTACTAATACTTCTTACAAACTACTGCTGTAGTAGATAAATAAATTCAAACATATTCCAAATTTTCCACAAGAAAGAAGATAAAGATTAAAATGCAACACATGAAGGTCTGTCTTGCCGATAAAATAAAACTACAGGGAAATGAATTTTTACTAGATAACATTTTTGTTCGCTTTGGAAATTCCGTATATCGTCAGGTTATCGGAATTCCAATGGGGACTAACTGTGCACCACTTATTGCGGACCTTTTTTTGTATAGCTATGAGTTACAATTTATGACAAAAATCAGCAAAGACCCATCGAAACAACATCTGATACACAAATTTAATAATTCTTTTAGATATTTGGATGATATTTTGGCTCTCAATAATGACGACTTCAGTATGTATACTAAAGAAATTTATCCTGTTGAACTTACTTTAAATAAAGCTAATACTAACGATGACCACTGCCCTTTCCTCGATCTTGATATCTATATCATTAATGGAAAGCTTTATACTAAAATATATGATAAAAGAGATGATTTTTCATTTCCTATCGTTAATTATCTATTTTTAGATGGTGACGTTCCCTTGTCACCATCTTACGGTGTTTATATATCTCAACTTGTACGATTCGCTCGTGTATGTAACAATGTTTTAGATTTTAACGAGAGAAATTTATGTATTACTGAAAAATTATTACACCAGGGTTTTCGATATCACAAACTAGTCAAAACATTTACTAAATTTTATCATCGGTATAAGGACATCATTCGTAAATAAAGCTCAATATGCAGACTTCTTATACGTTCAGATATTTCACATCCATTTTTTTATGGAAATATTCTTTATAAAGCACAAAAATGCCAGTATTCACCTCTGAAGCTAACAAAACCTTTAAATAGACTTATTAAGAAGGGATATAGTTACGATACTGTTGTCAGGTCATTAAAGATTGCATATTTTAGCGTTAATATTGATTCACTTATAGGGTCTTTGCATCGGCACTTAACACATTTATTTGAAAACCAGTTGTTGGCATGACACGTGTTATGTTCTTCTCATATATGTTATGATGGTATGATACTAAACCCCTAACGGGAAGGATTGTGCCTGATATTCATATGATGAAGACATAATCTTTCAATCAGTTTAATTGAAGTCTGGAGCTGGCATGTCAGTTAACTGCTAGTAGTCTGTTGTTATTTATGTATTATTGTCATTTTGTTTATTTTCTTTGGTTACATCTTCTGACATCAGACTCGGACTTCTCTTGAACTGAATTTTAATGTGCGTATTGTTATGCGTTTACTTTTCTACATTGGCTAGAGGTATAGGGGGAGGGTTGAGATCTCATAAACATGTTTAACCCCGCCGCATTTTTGCGCCTGTCCCAAGTCAGGAGCCTCTAGCCTTTGTTAGTCTTGTATTATTTTTTATTTTAGTTTCTTGTGTACAATTTGGAGTTTAGTATGGCGTTCATTATCACTGAACTAGTATATATATTTGTTTAGGGGCCAGCTGAAGAACGCCTCCGGGTGCGGGAATTTCTCGCTGCATTGAAGACCTGTTGGTGACCTTCTGCTGTTGTCTGTTCTATAGTCGGGTTGTTGTCTCTTTGACACATTCCCCATTTCCATTCTCAATTTTATTGTTGCAAATAAAAAAAAAATGCATTTTTGTATTCAACCAAAGGCAAAACTTATTCTTAGATGCATATTTTTTTTTCATTGGTTGTTATTGGCTTTGAACTAGCTGTCAGTAAGTGCGAGTACTCTCAGATATGTACTTAGTCTTTTTCTGTTGTGTGGCTATACAAATACCCATCTGCGTCCACTCTGTGTTTTTGTTAATGTATTTCTGATGAGTTAATATGGAAAAGATGTGGTGTGATTGCTATTGAGTCAACTCTTCACAACAGACCAATTGATACAGAAATTAACAAATATAGGTCACCATACGGCCTTCAACAAGGAGCAAAGCCCAAACCGTATAGTCAGCTATAATAGACAGATCTCTCACAAGAAAAAACTATAACAGTAAATATAAGGGCATACACTACAAGCACGGGGACACATTCTACTGCATCCACACAGCACGAGTAACAAACCGTGCAGTAAATATAAAAAAAAAAGATGCGGTGTGATTGCTAATGAGACAACTCTTCACATAAGATCACATGACATCGAAATAAACAACTATAATTCATCGTATGACCTTCGACAATGAGCAAAGCCCATACTGCATAGTCACCTATAAAAGGCCTCGAAATAAACCATAGAAGGGGGCAGGATAGAATACAGTTAAAGAATTAGAACATTAATATAATGGAATATGTAGACAGCTCTGGTCTGTATGGACATATACTCTGTCACCGAACGTAAGCATCAACAAAACTTGAATCTGTACAATCATAGGTTTGAACGTTGTTTTCAATTTAGACTTGTTTATATTTATATATATTGATATATATATATTTATGTGCCTACCAAAGTTCAGGAACTTCAAATTTGTCATTTCATATCTTAATTTGGTTTTGTTATTTCTAGAATTTAGTGTTTTTGCCTGCTTTTGTTTTACATATGTATATATTAACAACTTTTATGAACTGTGGAAGATTTAGATCTTGACAAACGTCAGTAGTTGAAAATTACATTATTAGTCTTCTTTTTTTTGTCGTTGGGTAACTGTCTTATTAACACATATCACTTATCTCAGTTTCAACGTATTAACGTATTAAACAATGAAAAAAAGACGCAAACAGTTTTTCATTTTATTTCCAGATCATATATACCTTTATCAATTATAAATTTATAAATAAAAAAAGTCGCAATGTTCATAAACATTCCATCCATTCTTTGCTATGCCATTAATGTAATATGGCTATGCTTATCACGCTTCATGTCACAGAATACATTAATCAAGTGCAAATATCTCTCTCACATTACTCTTACACAGATGTCTGTTCGTCGTGTAGCATCCATTCGGTATTGTTTAGCAAATTAGTAAGGATGTGTAAAAGCCATCTTTTAAAAATGAAACAAAGCATTTGAAGATCTTTAACAGAATATCTTGCATAATATCCGGCTTCTCGCTTATCGACATCAGAGCAATCGGACACAAAGAAATAGATAGGAATAATTCTTCTATAATAATCAAATAGTCATGGACATGTGATGTTTGATTTTAATTGGTATGCATTCTGTATAGAGACCTGGTGTGCCAATTTCAAATTAGTGTAATTATAGTACAGTTATAAATATATACATTGGTAACAAAATTTCTATGATAAACACAAGAAACATACAATAGATGATGAAATGAAAAAGTTAAAACTTCACGAACTACAAATCCATCCATCCATACACCCGTCAATCAATAAATATATACATAGATACAAAAATGGTTTAGAAATAAAGAAAAAAAATATATATATATTTTTTTTTAAATGAATCTTTACGATTATATTATGCTACACAATTCTTCAGTAATCTATTTCA